TAAAGAAGCTCAATGCTAATCACTTTGGGAGAAATTCTATTGGATTGACTCAAAGGAGAAACCTCAAAGCAATATTCTTGGGAATCAACAAGAGAATTTTAATGGCCCATTAACATTTTTTTAATTTTAATTTAATAATAAGAAGCATCTTTAAACTAGTACTTTTATTTTTATGTAGGTTCGTAAAAATTAATTAAATAACTTAGCTATTTTGTTATTATGTGTTACTTCATGTTATTTTTCTTGCTTTTTTACTCAAGTCTAAATTACATTTTACTTTTCTTTGTATTTGTACACCATATATAGCTTTGATGGATAACGAGTCTCATTCAGCATAGCATAAGATAATGAGTTGCAAAGATGGATATGAGTGTTTTGATAGGGTTAGTGTTTATGTTTTTATTTTTATTTTTTTATGTATTAATTATATTTATTTGGTGAGCTTAAAGAAGGATCCGTTAAAGAAAAGTCTAATTGTTATTTTTTTTTAACTTTTAATAGTAAGTTGAAGTAGTCTAGTTCAAAAAACCTAAATCTTTCAAATCAAATTTGATCGTCTATATTTGGATGACGCGATACGATCTTAGCAATCAAGAGTCATTTTCTTTTATTATAAATACTAGCCTTATATCATTGCGAGAGGATCATAATTTTTTGTATAAGATAACTTTTGATTTCAAAATTTTTCGATGTAGCAAAATAAATCCTTGAACACCTAAAACTTTATCTGTTTGAATTTTGACTATCCATTTATTCATGCCTTCCTAGCACGGCATGCTTTTTCTCTCACGTCTCTTACTATTTACATTTTTTCTTCTTGATTGATTAATCGTTATTTTTATAAATCTCAACACTAACTCTCCGTAGTTTGATTAATCTACCGACTAGTCATCTGCTCAATTCTCAAAAACCCTGTTTATAATTTTAATAAATAATAAATATTTATAACCTTAAAAAACTTTCTTCTTGTTGTTGTTCTTTTATTATTACAAGATCAAGTAAACCTTGAATTACATGATAAATAAATAATAAAGCTCTTTATATTCAAATAAAAATTTCAAGTCTTCTGCTGATATCTTTATGGGACAATCTACTTTTAATTCAATAATATTTTGGTCAAAGCACAAAAGAATATGATATCTTTATTTATTTATTTATTTTGCAATACTCGTTAACCGTTCAAAATTAAATACTAGAATATCTTTATGGGTACTATTCTATGCTATTATTCTGTGAAAATGATTGGTTGGGTCACGCCTGTCAGTTAGAAGTTGTAGATAAATTTGGGACAAGATGGTGAAAAATAACATCAGGAATCTACTTTTTTTTTTGTAGCTTTATTTATTTTTCGTTTTTCATTTCCTGGAAATCGCAGAGAGATGCTTTCAGCTTTCCATGCAACCTTAGGTGGCTAAATTGCCTAAATTTTGGGACGATAGACCTTTAACTTTTCATCCTTTTTCATGCCTTTTTTTTTCCTCTCTTTTTCCTTCATCTCGTTTTCGTTCTCTCTTCATCTTCTGTTCTAAGCAACCTTCACGTAATTTAGAATTTAGGATAACCATTTTCCATTTATTATTTTATTTCTTGACTAACAATATACTCCCATCTAAGCTTATAGTGATCAAGTGGTATGTCATTCACTTGATTAGTAATAAATTGATTTACAAAAGAATATAATCATAAAAAAAACAAAAAGTAGATGTGGTTTTTGATTTTTAGAATAGTTATTATAAAAAAAATAAAAAAGAAGTTAGATCTTTCACTCTATAACTTTTCTTTTGGTAATCTATTTTGTGAAAGTTTGTAATGTCAACCTGCTATTGCATTTGAATTTCTAGTAAAAGGTAATGATGGTTCCACTCCATTACCCTTTTTTTTTTTTTTAATCTACCCTGACCTTTCACTCACCAAACCTCACAAATGTGATAAATCCCAGAAAAACTCATATATATTCTCTTCAAAGAAAGCACTCCCTTCATTGATTGTCTCCTGGTGTCGATTAAAATAAATTGGAGTTATTATTTAGATGAATTTATTAACTTCATTTGAATGCATTAAATTAATGGAGATTTCCCTTTTAAATCATTAAAAAAATATTTAATCTCGATCAATATAAAAATTTATCTTAAAATACTTTTTCGTAAGTTAGTTGAAAATATCAATCGATAATCAAATAAAAAGCAATTTCTATAACACATTATAATTATAATGCTTTCGTATTACAAATTATTAAATATTTTTATATATTATATTGTAATAAATTATCTTATCATTCATCGGTTTAACATGAATTCTATATCATGTACATCTCCTCATCTTTTACAATTAGACACAAATAGTTTAATACATACATAAAAGAACTTTTTCAAATTAATTCAGTACTTTTTAACTCTAATTAAATTGTCGAATGAATTCTCATTTAATAAGAGAGATTTATTTTGCACATACACAATATACAGAAAACTTTCATCAGTCCTTTCTATCATCAAACCACCGATATTACTTACGTATTCCACATTTTTTAATTTTATTAAACGAGTTTACCCAAAATTCATGAGCTCTACTCTTTTTTTTGTTCACAAAGAAGAAGCTAATTTTATAACGAGAGTGTGGAAGCTCCCTTGAAGTTCTTGAGGCTGTTTATTTGGTGATCAAGTCACTTTTCTCATGATTTTTTTTTTTTTTTAAATTACGTATCTAAAGTTCTGACTAAAACTAGAATTTAAACTCATAAACTCTTATTATAAAAAATAAAATATAAGTATCTCTTATAGCAGAACTATGGTCGCATTTCCATTACCAAAAACGAGTTGAACATACGATCAAGTGTACTCTATTACAGCCACCAATTTGCTATAAATTTAAAGTTTTGATCCACTTGCGCCCGATCAAAGCGATGCCATATAATTCAAATCTAAAGGTTTATGCAATTCCCATCATTGTTATCTCATATTGTCCCTGCAATTTTCTTAACACTTTGATCCTATTGTGTAAAAGTTTGCAACGTCAACCTGCTATTGAATTTCTAATAAAAGTTAATAATGTTTCCACTCTATTATCTTAAATCTTCCACTCACCAAACCTCGTAAATGTGACAAGATCTCACATAAACTAGCACACTTCTTTTCACAAAAACCGGTCTCTTCATTAATTGTCACCTGTCGTAGATTAAAATAAATTGGAGACATCATTAGATAAATTTATTTGAATGTATTACTAATGGAGGTTTCTTCTTTTAAATCGTAAAAATAAATAAATAATAATCTCCATTGATGTTCAAATTGAAATTAAGATATCCCTTATTATTTAATAAAAAAAAGAGAGGGGTAGGGAGGGAAAGAGAGTTGATATTGGTAAGCTAGTTGAAAATACCAACAGATCATCAAATAATGAGCAACTTCTATAAGATATTGTAAATATAAGACTTTCATGTTACAAACTATTAAATATTTCTATATATTATATCGCAATAAATTACTTATTGTTCAATAATTTAATTAATTATCTCATATTATACTTTTTATTAATAATATTATATAGTTACGACTAAAAAATTATATTGTTATCTTCAAAAGAAAAATAAATATTATTCACTTCGTAACAACTAAGTGATCAAGAACAATTAAATAGATTCATTTACTGAATTGTAAAAAATTACCTTATCTTTACATAATTATTTCGTAATTATAATTGTTATGAACAAATAAGTATAATTTTTAATAAAAAAAGTTTCTTGTTACCTTAAAGAAGAAAAAATATTATTTAAGTCATATTAAAATTATTTTTAAGTAATTATAAATTAATAAGTATTTTCCCTTATTGTATCGTAAAAATTATTTTATTATTTCATAAAGACACCATAGTTATAGTTATCGTACCTTGAAATACCACAAAAAGTCCCTAAAAAATATTACATAAAAATAAATTTCATTAAAATAATTAATAAATTGACTGAAGGAATCACATATTTTGTAGATCATCATACGGAGCTTTGTAATTTTCTAAAAAAAGGTTGTGAACGGATGAGAATATATATATATATTGTGCTAAAGGTAACTATTTTTCATCATTAAATTGAAATTGAGGAAGGCTTCTATCTCTAGATCAGAAGCCTGAGAAACAAAATGAAGAGAATGAAATTGGCTTATATGCCACTAAAACGATATTTAAAAACATACAATGAAAATCTCATATAAAAAATAAAAATCTAGAATTCAAATCTAAAAATTAAAAAATCATTGTACAAAGGAGCAAACAGCTGAAATTTTACTGACAATCCAGGGGCAGCTCGGTAGAAATTGGATAAATATATATAAAAAAAAATCAAATCTAGTAGAAATAATACTAAATTTGAGATTATTGAAAGAAAACATTGAAAAAAATAATAATATCGAGACAGATATAATTTTTTTAAAAAAAAACTCACAACATTCTAGAGAGAAACTTTCGGAGAGGATGTGAGAGGAAAAAAAAAACTTTATTTGGTATAATTAGGAAGACATGAATTTGTACTAACAATTAGAAGATATAATTAGGAAAATAGCACAATGTTTCCTGCAAAATAATAATAATAAATTGTGATAAATCACCTACCTCTTGGCTTTCTCAAAAAAAAAAAAAAAAAAAAGAAGTTAGGAGGAAGAGAGAGAGAAATGGCGGTGGTATTAAGAAATGGACGGTTTGAGGCAGTTTGCACGTGTTGGGGTTAGAAGAAAAGGGGAAACAAGGAGGACATGGAGGGAAGTTAAAGAAGAGCCTGTCCCTTACCGACCCTTTCGCACGTTTGTCTTTTTTTTTAACCGGACACAAACTATCTCAACCCTTCTCTAAACTCCTTTGTCTTTCCCTTCCTATGTTTTTCGATGACCGTAGGTTCACTTCATTACACACAAAAGTTCTTCTAACCGCAAATTCACAGACCTTTTTGACTGCAAATACCATTAGCCACCACCAAAAAGACTAAAGGATCGAAGTTTTTCTTTTTTGTTGTTTCTGTTATGGGGAAGAGAAAGAGAAGTTGTGGCAATCACAGCAAGACCAAGTACACTTCTTCTTCGGGTAATGTTATCTGTTCTTTTTGCTTCTTTTTGTTAAAATGATTTTGGGGTTGTTTGGTTGTTGAGAAAATGGTGATAAATGAAGGGAAAATAGAAAGGGGAATTTTTGAATCTTGATGATTGAATGGAAATGGGATTTTGATAAGAAGGTTTTTACTTTGGTGAAGTGAAAAAAATCACGGGGTTTTGTGTTTTATGAGAATCTGATACGGATGAAGCTATAAAGATTAAAGACTTTGATTTTTTTGCCTTGAAAAAATATCTTTTCTTTTTTCTCTCAAACAGTAAATTCGAGTGTTAGGGTTTGTTAAATTTGAGTGACAGGGTTTGTTTGCCGGCCTTTTTATTTAAATTGTTTTGCTTTGATTGCTTCTAGTTCCGGATCTTTCGGATATTTTTCACTGTGAATCAGTTTGGGGTTATTGCCCCTTGATCAAGGCGGGATTGAATGATCACTACTTTTCGTTTGATAAAGTAATTTTATTATTATTTGATCCTTTGAAAAATGATGTCTTGGAGATTCTAGCAGAGAATGTGTGCAACTGCAATTGCAACATGGATTCTGAGGAGACAAGTGATTAATTTGCTGGTATTAAGTTTGCGGGCATGGATTTCGAGTGTTGATTTGTGAAAATTGAAATGAAGAGAAAGGTGGAAGTGTTAAATTTAATTCACCAAGTCAAACATAAAAGGAAAGAAAACGATGAGTCTGAGTTCTTAATTTGGCCTATAACATTTTGCTGTACATGACTTTCTGAGCTCCGTAGGGATCATCATCGTGTGTTCACATTTTGCAATTTCCAGTGATTATTACCTTTTACTTCCAATATGTTGTTCATACTTTTATGATTTTCAAAATTGTCTTGATGGAATTATTTGTCTAACCTAATGGAATAACCTGTCAATACATCTTAATTGGCAATGAACTCTGGATCAGTTTAATTTCTTAACTGATAATTTTATTTGATGGACTGCCTTTATAAACATTGTCTGTTCACTTACATCTTGTATTCTTTATTTCTACCCCCAGGATTTTGACTCACTATCATTTTTTCGACATGTGCCTTTCCAGCTATTTGATATTGAGAATTATTCAATGCAATAGTAGACTGGATTATTTTTATCTGCCAATATGTCCTCTTATCCATTAGTGTAAATGTCATTACATTTACTCCCAGAGGTTTTCGATTGCTGTTCTCAGGATGCCTCTAGTTACGTGATTTCCACATTGAGCTATCCTGTACATCCTTCACATTTGCGGCTGGCTGACCTGCTTGCATAGCTGTTGAACATCCTATAACATTACTTACCCTATTCTGTGGTGATTCATTAGTTGCATTTTCTTCCATTGCTTTGACTTTATAATCATGTCTGGTTGACAGTGTTTCATACAATGTGGTCAATAAAAATGTAGTGTGCGTCGAAAGTGCACAAGTCTTGGCTAGGGAAGAAGGATTGTACCCTTTTGTGTCAAGTAAATGGTTAGAATAGAAAATAGAAGTTCTTTCTTATCTCATTCTTACTCTAAATGATTGAACTGAAAATGCTCATTGTGTTTTATGGTGCAGACGACATGCCATGCTCTTCTGGAACAGAATTATTGTCTGGAGAGGTCAGTTGTTTTTTTCCTTAATCACAAGACCCTGTAATTTCTGCCTGCACGTTCTGCTTTGCTCTCTTTTGATCTTTCGAACGTGTTTGATGATGAGGGGTTAAACTCAAAACTTGCAAGCTCATGTCTGGGTCAGAATACTTGGTGCAGGGTGTGACCTTTATTCCTCTTTTGTTTTATTCACTCCGTGACCAAATAGAAATTTAAATGTCTTCATGATTTTTTTTTAAAAAAGAAAGAAATATCATTGTGTTTTTTTAATTGTCCTTTTGCAGAAGTCTTCTTATTTGCACAACTCTAGTGAATTAAGGCCTCTCTCACCCAGGGTGGATGCATCAGATAGTGCTGTAAAGCTATTGAATGTGCACCATTCTCATGCACATCAGAACTACAACCTTGGCCGTTCAATAGTCTTGAAGCGATCTCGTCACTACTATGGTCATCAGTACTCTCGGAGAAACGTGGGGAGTCATGCTGATGCATCAACGTCTCGCGGGAAGACTGCCCTGTCACGTGATGAGAGGCTTACCTTCAAGTTGAGCAGTCAACTAGGTTCTGAGCCTGGGTGGCATACAGGTGAGATATTCATAATTGCATGGTGTTGAATACAATGTTTTTCTTTCTCCATGGATATAATGTAGTATCTAGCTGCTTCACACACTAATATTCAAATGGGGCTCCTAAATAATTTCTATAAAATTCCAGAAAACATCAGAGGTGGGATCATTTTTTATAAGTTGGGAGCAAGTTTCTATGCACACAAGATGCAGGAAGTTGTTCATCTACTTTTCATTATAATGAAGTTTCATTGTAACTCTAAGATTCAACATATCAGCTATTTACATTTGCTTGTGTTGACTTCAATTCTTTTCCACTTTTTCAGAAAACAAGGAATTAGAATTCAGTAGGCCAGACAGGGTAAGGTTTAGTTCCTTGGTAATGGATGCTGTTTCGTCTGATTCAGTGAAGATGGTATGTGGAATCTGTCAGAAACTAGTGAGAAGGAAACCTTATTTTCCAGGAAATGCATTAACTGCTGGTGAATTCTCTGTTGTGGCCGTTCTAGTTTGTGGTCATGTTTATCATTCAGAGTGTTTGGAGCAGAAAACAAGTATTGAAGATATGCGTGACCCTCCCTGTCCGTTGTGCTCGAACTTGCTCTCTTCTGAAGATGCCTCTAGAGGACAAGAGTAACGTGATGTTGACATACATCAATGCTATTGATTATCTAGGACCGACATAACATTACTTAGTGCTAGGCCTAAGGGGGTCATGAGGGTTAGAGAGTTTTGATGGGCAGTCCTTCGCAGTCTCACTGCTGTCGAGACAAGATTATCAAAAAGAAGAATGAACTGCTGTCATCTCTCATGGGTGCTAGTCCTAGAAAGACGCCGCAGCTATTGTCAAGATATGGACACCAGGTAAGGTAGCATTTTTAGGAGAATATTAGTAAATGACAATCATAGTTTTGTTGTATGAGCTGACAGTATTGTACACTCATTGGTATTGGTGTATAAAGTGGCGGTACAACAAAATTAAAATATGAGTAAATAACTATCTTAGCTTTTGTTGTATGAGTTGACAATATTGTAATTGGATTGGTGTAAGAAGTGGCGGTAGTACAAATTCAAATATGAAAATGTCTTCGTCTCCTCTCTTCTTCTTTTCAACTTTTTCCAGCTTAGAAGCTTTGAACAGGGATTTGAAGGACTGATTGCTTAGAGTGGCATAAAATCTGTTTCCCTTGCGTTTTATCAATGCCATAATGCTGGTAGTTCTAACACTACCAAAGAGTGCTAAGGAGCATGCTATTATTATATATGAACCAAAAGGTTATAAAATCCTCTCTGAAAAAAAGATGAAAGCTACCCATTTAGGAGGAGAAACACAATGTTTACTCTTACCTCTTGGTGCTTAAGACGTAGCCAACAAAGGAAGATTGTGCATTTGTAATAGGATTTAAGGGAGGCAGTAGGGTACGGGACAAATGACCACTCATTGGAGATTTACTCGTTTCAGTACAGAAGATGGCCACTACATTCCACAGCTGAGTACGTCTGAAATACTTGATGTTCTATGTATCTACAAGAATCTTTGGTCCCAGATTTTCCAGTGTAATCAGTTCGGCTCTAAGCAAATAAAGCAAACTTCAATCCTTGAAAAGAATTACCTGTTACCTACTAAAATTCCTACCATGAATTTCAGTTTTCAAAGGAAAAGCAGCTACCTACGTTAAGAAATTTTCACAAGAATCAATTCCTTACGGAATAAAGCGAAATAGTACTACTAACAATCAACTACACAAAAAGTAAACTTCAGTTCGTCGTCCGTAGGTGGGAATTTCCTTGATGCCCTAAGTTTATGGAAGCCGCCCTGCATTAACTAGAAGGAATCCGAAGGAAAATTAAAGATCTCATCAGCTCTCCTGAGAAAAATTTTCTTCTCACGTGCATGAGTTCAGGACCATGAGTCCGAACTAATTCTGTTCCCACGACCAGACGGTATAGAACTTTCGGCATCTTACGATCCAATTTTTGCAAAAATGATTCTAGGAAAGTGCAAACTCAAATGTTAAGAGAGTTCCTGTTGTTCAGGCACAAAAGGCAGTGCCACACTCACACAGCACTATTTCATTCGTTGTACCATGTGCTGAGCACTTCCTTAGCTTATATAATGGAAAGACTACATAACCTACATAAACATAGAACTGTACATTATTGCCGATACAGAAAGGGCAGACCCATCACGGTATCGTTCTGTAGTTGTGAATTGAGCACATCAAGAAACTTGAGCTGAGGTCGGACTACCAGGACAGGGCTCTATCAATGTTGGCTCTCCGCCACCTGGGGCTGGGGCATCAAGGGCTGGAGCTGGAGCTGGGGCTTCAAGCAGTGAAGCAGGGGCATCAAGTTCTGGAGCTGGAGCTGGAGCTGTGGCATCAGGAGCTGGAACTGGAATTGGAGCTGGGGCATCAAGGGCTGGAACTGGAGCTGGGGCATCAAGTGCCGGAACTGAAACTGGGGCATCAAGGGCTGGAAATGGAGCTGAGGCATCAAGGGATGGAATTGGAGCCGGGGCATTGAGGGGTGGGGGTGGGGCATGTTCCCAGGGTTGGATGGGTTGTTTGCATGTAGCCTTATTGTGCCCTTCTCCCTTGCATCTGCTGCAAGACATTACCCTTGTGGGTTCTCCCTTTCTGTAGTAATATCGTTTTTCCTCCGGCTGGATTGGAGGCCTTGGGGTAGTAGGAGGAAGCACCTGCGCCGACTCTGAGACATCTTTTTCTTCAGCCAGATCCATGAAATCATCTAAAACAGGGTGTATAGATTTTGAATATGTTGTGCGAAAGCAATCAACAGTGTAGTATTTCGAACAATAATCATATACGCTACTGCCTTTGCATTTGAAGACAGCAATAGCATGGCGACAAGCTAGCCCAGTCAGTTTCCACTCGAGACACGTGCAATCCCTTTTTTCAGTATCCACAACATGAATAGAGTCATCGTGAACCTCAAATAAGGTATCAGACGAGAATAATACTTTTAAAAATTGTGCTCTCAGAGCATCTTCTTGTAGCTTTTTCTCCTTGGATGGAGTAAGTTTGGCAGTCCAGCTATTTGAATCCGTTTGACATGTGTGGATCAACCTCATTATCTTGCATGTAAGTACCTCGAGCTTCCGTATTATAGGTAGCTCCCTCACTTCTTCAATCCAGTCAGCATAAGTCGCTGCAACATCAACTGTAATATGATTATACCGCTCTCCCTTGAATAGTGCATTTGCCCAGCACTCTGGTTCAATCTGCATAAGCCAATCATACACTTTTGAAGAAACCCGTTTAATTTGCTCAGCATGCATTCTAAAACCATCAAGTCGGACTGCATGGGCAGCAGCCACTAAACTTCCAGGCAAAGAAACTTTCCCATCTCCATGGAACGGCCCCTTCCAATTTCTCCTCAAGTTTTCCAGCATATGATATATAGAATAACCATGGTGAGCATTCTCAAATACTTGAAGAACTGATTTCATCAACCCCTTCTCTTTATCAGAGACAAATGTTACTGATCGTGAAGTTGAAATTGCAGCTTTCAACTGCTCCAAAAACCATTTCCAATTATCACCATTCTCAACATCCACTATAGCAAAGGAAACTGGAAAAAACCCATCATCTCCATCTAACGCAGTAGCTGTCAGCAAAATCTCATGGTATTTTGATTTTAATGTTGTGGAATCAAGAAAGAGAATTGGGCGACAACCATTTTGGAAACCATATATTGAGGCATGAAAGGATACAAAAAGACGCTGAAATTTGTTGTCATCACCAATGGAAAGCTTCACAAAACTGCCAGGATTTGCCTCCACTATCTTATCACAAAACCAAGGCAACTGATTATACGCCTCTTTCTTCGAACCCTGAAGTTGCTCCTTTGCATCTTCAATTCCACGCCACACTTGAGAATAGTTCAACTCCATCCCAAAGTCTTGGAAGAGGCCATTGGCAATGTCCCTTGGTTTTTGACGCGGCATCTCTCTTAACCTCTCTTTTATAACACTGACCAGCCAATTTTTATTTGGAGTAGCACGCTTCCATGATTCTCCTCCACAAGTATGCGCCTTATTCATCTTTTTTATCCTAAATACTTGTTCAGATTCAACCCAAGATGCATGAATCCGCCAAGAACAACCTTCAACCACACATCTGCCACTTGCTCGATTAGTGTCATTCTTTTTCAATCTGTATGCAAAACGGCGTGCGATGGAATATTTCTGCAGGGCATCACGAAATTCAGCTACATTTTTGAAGTCCTGGCCTACCCCAGTAATTCTCTTTTTCCAAGAGGCAACCATTCTTTCCACTGAAACATCTTTAGAGTTCACACCAAGTGCGCATAATTCGCTATCTTCATCATCTGATTGCCATTCTATATCAACATCTACAATGCTATTATCATGATCCCAACTATTCCTCTTCCACGATGTACTTTTTCTTGTCCTCATGTTCCTCTTTCGTGACGTTCTTCTAGTCTCTCCATCATCATCACTAGTATCATCACTGTCGTCATCGTCGTAGTCATCATCATCATCAAGAACGATGCTGGGACCATTGGCACCGATTTTCCAGGATGCAGTGCGCCTTCGCTTCTTAACAGTGTCGGCAGGGGAAGCATTCATATCTACTATATCTGAATCATGCATTGTCGTATCAACAGGAACTGTGACAAGATCAGTCTGAACCAAACTAGCAGCACCAGGATCCTCGGTAATGGTGGCAGGAGAATTTTTTGAGGTAACGGCCAGTGCCAGATTATCAGGGCTTTTAGCTTCATCATTGGCGGCATTTTGGGTTTTAGAAGACAATACATGATGACTGCCAGTTGCAGGAGTGACTGAAGGAGCAAGTCGAGATGGCAAACGGCTTTGGGCTTTAGCTTTGGCAGCTCTTTTTGATTTAGATGATAATACACGACGACTGCCAGAGGCAGCAGCAGTAGGAGCAACTGTGATAGGAACTGGAGACAGCACACTTTCAGCTAGTTGGATCCCACTTCCTCTGCAATTTTAAAAACTACTATTAATCAATGGAAGCAAGAGAGAAAACCCATGACTGCTGCAGCCAATAAAATGCCACCTATCATAAAATACCAGATTAAAAATTGAGGGTTACTGGAAGAAAACAAATTCATTCAGCAAAGAACCCAGTTTGCCGAGCAATGCTATGGCATTGAAATCCCTCCATACAACAACTTGACAATCACTGATTTTCAGTAAAGTAAGAATTATACGACTTGTTCAAAAATTAAAATCAATAATCCATGCTCTTAGAGACATGAGGCACCTGAAAGGCAGAAAAATATACCTGCTAGCATGTAAGTAACAGGCTTCATGTTTAAAACCTTCTCTTCCCATGACATATACATCTGCTGTGATCGAGTTCCCATGAATATCAAACATCCTTTTCAGGTCTTTGTCACTAGATACAGTAATTAGAGTTCGCTTGTTTCCAGGGATAAAATACTTCATTGACATAGATTCATATTCCAAGTTACACATTTCAGCCAATTTGAACTTCAGATCATCAAACACGGTTTCAAGGTTGATATCTAGAGCATGTGCCTCTCCTCCATTATATGATAAACTCCCATCGTCATTTGTCACAAATTCACCACCAGACTGGCAGATCAGTATAAGCTTTC